ATGAACCTCAAGAAACTTCAGACTACGTGAAAGTTGAGAATTTTCTTTGGTCAGGACTTTCCATCTTGGAATCTCTTTCATTCTTCTATTCTCACCCTGTATTTTTACACAGAAAATGGATAACTAACCTCCATTATTTAGGGTGGGCTATTTGGTTCACTCTGCCAGGTTTTCTTTGCACTAAAACAGCTATCACAAAGGAGTATGTGCTTTCCCCCACCCCTAAAGGCTAAACTGGCTGGAAGAAGTTAAAAAAGGGGTCACTGCAGCTTTAAGAAAGGCAGCAGTAATTGCCTAGATCCCCAGTCAGTCAGATAAACAGCTAGTCAGACTGGCGCCAGCAATATGCAAACTGCATATTATCACCACTTCTTCACCTAAATAGCAGAGGGGGACCCTCCTTAGGAAAAAAGGGCTTTTTAAGTACAACTTGAAACTGATCTCAATTCAAAGGGGATAATGCCGGGCCAAATAAAAATGCCTGTATTCTTTGCTTCAGCAAACCCATGTTTTTCTAGGCTGCCTTCTAAAGTCACTTAAAAGTTGTGTCTCCTTCAGTGTGATTTAGATAACAGTCATTTTGTGACTATAATTATAGCAAAATAACAAATGGGGAAGCAAAGAGACTGGGGTTTATTCCTAGATCATGGAGCTTTTGGGAGAAAGGGCTTTAAAAACATCAGTTGTATTCGTGATTACAGTATTTCTTAAAATGTCCATCCACAGATATGAAACATGTCTATGATCTGTTGGGTTAAAGGCAGGCACCTTTTAAATGAGTACAGCCCTCTCCAAGGCACTGATCTCAGCAAATACACGGCTCTGGAAGTTTTCCAGCTGTCTCAAAATGGGGGGCAAAGACCGGGGGAGTCTTTTGAAAAGCATGTTTGGAGAAGGCGCCCAAGGAAAAGTCCAGTTTGTCTCCCTCAATGACAGAAACTACACCGAGCCTTATCAAGCCACGCATCAATGAGTGCCAGCTATGTGCACAATGCAACCAGAGCCCAGCCGCCTTCTGAAAGAGGGGCTGCTGGCTCCCTTTGGGGAGGGCTAGCTCGAAAGGGGGGGACTGGAAGGGGGGGGTGAGACTTTCTCCAGCTCTGGGAGCCTTCGGCCTCTTTGATCCTCCCCCCTTGTTTATAAACCCCTCATCCTCACACAGGCAAACTCCAGTGTAGGGGGTTAATTCATTCCGGGGAGCTGCCTGGCCGGCTGTGTAATGCCTAAAAGTGAACAGCAAACTGAGTAGATTAAAGCTACCAACTCACCATGGGCTTTGCCTCGTGTAGGGTCTATTGCCCCAACTGGCTGCTACCTCTCCCTCCCTGCCTAAACCCACACACGTGCTACTGGGACAGTTGTGGCCCCTGGGGGACAAAAACAACAGACCTCAGCAAGTAGGTAGACCAGCACCAGGAGAGCAGGTGAAATGGGTCTCAGCCGGCTCTCACCAAGATACCAGGGCAATAGAGCTTGCCATGTTTGCCCCACGCCACCAGAACTCACTTGCCTGTTATCATGTGGCTTGTGCAGACCAGCAAGGTGCAAGGGGGGCTGGGGCTGAGACCTACTACTGGGGACCTGGATGGCTTCTGTGGATCTCACAATGTTATCAGCAGCAATTGAGAGCAGCCTTCTTCCTCCCTCTGCACTAGTGCCTCCTACTGGCCTTTGCACAATGGGAAAGAAGCGCCCCTGCCAGACTAAAAGAGAGACAGAGGCTGCGGGGGGGTGTCTCTGCTGGGTTGCCTGAAAATGCACACACAGTTCCAGCGCACTGAGGCATTCTCAAACTTCTTGAATGGGTGGAAAAATACGATTCATAACATCAACTGGCTGGCTGCGTATTAAGAGTGTTTCCTTGACTCCAGTTGGAAACAATGGTGCAATTCATAGACTACACCAAAGCGGTGAAAATCAGGAGGAAGTTCAGACCTGACATACAGACGTAGGTACAACATATTATGCACACGGGAAAAGGTTCTGCACCTTCCTAAAATCCACTCCAGCAGGGCTAGGGCTAAACAGCTACACAGAAAGTGTGAAGGCGTTTAACTGCAAGAGGTTTGGAGATCCCACACCAGCCACTGCACTGTTGAACACTATCCCATCCTGAATTATCAACAGCTAAATTTCAACACAGTCTTCTAAAACATATGTGATGGGCTACTGATACAAGCAAAGAGCATTATATCTTAAACCTAAATCAGGGTACACAAATCATCTTAATTAAAACAGAAAATAATGCTCCTGGTGTTGCTAGAACTAAAATATTCCTTCCCAGTTTAGTTTTGGTTGTTTGTTTTAAACACCTAACTCACCGATCATACCATCTTCCCCTTTTATGACTAAAAAACCTCTGGGGATGAATAGTTCCTGATGGCTGCCGACACAGAAAACTACAATCTAATCCAAAAAGGGTACTGAAATATGAGCAAAAAAGTGGTGTTGCCAATTTTCTTGGCTTTAGGGCTTTTGGCTTGTGTAGGCCTTTATGCATCTTTGCATCTTCCCCTTAACTCTCAAGCCTAGATCTGGTTAGATCCTTAAAGCCCCAGTGATAGGCATTTTTGATAGAGGTATCAGATTCAAGGGCTAGTTATTGCGGTTAATCGGATGCAGATCTGACAGATTTTGCTCCTGGTTAAAACAAAAAATCCTGCAAAGAATCGTACTTGGGGGTGGGGGTGGAAGAGGACAGACCAAAATAAAAACTGACCCAGCCCTAGCCAGCCCGCCAGGTGCACCTGGGTTGGCCAACCATCTGTAGTCAAACGTACATCGCACGTAGCCATTAAACCAAGCGAGGACTTTAGAGGAGGGCTCCCCAACACCTGGCTTAGAAATCGGGCTAATCTCCGTGCCATCCCCCCGCTGGACGGGGCGCGATCTCTGCTCTCGGGCTGGGGTGGGGGACTGGCATGCTTAGGGCTCCTAGACCGGGGTGGGTGTGAAACCACCCAGCGCCCCGTCTCCCCTAGGCGGGATGTCTCTGCGCACCCCCGCTCCCCCAAGGGAGACCCCCCCATCCCAGACCTCGGAGGGGCCGCTCCTTACCTGGCCCACAGAGCCTGCTGAAGTGGTAGGGGTTGCAGCAGACCGTGGGGCTGTCGGCCAGCCCGAAGCTCTGGCACTCGCACAGCGGTTTCAGCTCCGCCGGGTGCTGCAGGTCCGGCCAGCGGAACAACTTGCCCAGGAGCAGCTGCGGGGGCGCCGCCTGGCCCCCCAGGCGCAGCTCGCTGCGGGAGACCAGGACGCAGCCGCTGGGCATCCCCCCGCGGGACTCCACCGCCTCCACCAGGCTGTCCAGCGACCTCTCCTTCAGCCGCTTCAGCAGCGAGTAGGTGACGGACTTGAGCTCCTGCTCCAGCAGCAGGAGCCGGGACCGGGCCTCCCGGCTGCGGGGCTCCGGGGCGGCTCGCAGCGGGAAGTCGCCAGACCGCAGCTCCCTGTCCCGGGAGGAGGCGCCCGCGGGCCTGGGGCTGCCCGGCTCCCGCTCCTTGAAGAGGCAGCAAGTCACTGTTTTGCATTCGCTCTCCTGTGCCCACCACGGGCTCTCCTCTTCCCCGTCCTCCTCCTGCTGCTGCCCGGGGCCGCCCCGGGGCCCATCCCGCTCCGCCATGGGGCTCCCCCTGCCCTCCTGGCCCGGCTCCCAGGCGCACAGCTCCGCGGGGTCCCTCGCCAGGTTGCGGGTTACCGTGCGGATTTCCGAGGAGGGGTTTTTCTCCGGGGTTTTGCTGCGGCTGGTGCCCCCACCGTGGTCATGGCTTTGCCTGGAGCTCCCATCTGCCCCTTCCCTGTCCGGGATGACACGGCTTCTCCAAAGTCGCCGCACAAGACCTGAGCGTTTGGACCTGAACATACGACAGCTCGGAGCTGGTAATCTCGGGGGTTGGGAGGGTTGGATTTTTATTTGATGCCCGCTCCTTCCCCGGCGCAAGCCCCGCGATCGCCACCACGCATGGAGCGGCGGCCCCTCGCAGCGCCGTGCAAAAGCCTTGCACAGCTAATCGCCGATAGATTGCAACAAGGCTGCAACATGAGGGAGACTGCGGGGAGGGGAGGAAGAAAGGGCCGAGAAGGCGCCGCGGGGGGCTACATCGACACACACTGGGGGTCGCCTGCCAACGCTCCTTTGCAGCGGCTGACCCGGGAAACGCTCAGGAGATGCCCTACATTGACTAGCAATTTACAGCCGAAGATAAAGCAGCGAGAGGGGTCACAGGCAAACGCGGCTGCTGCTTCGCAAACACAAATCCTGCCTTGCAAACTAGCCCCATCAACTGCGTTTCTTTGCCATTAAAACAGTGAAAGGGGAGAGGTGGCAAATCCGAAACGGCGGTTCTGGATCAGTAAACTTGCACCAGGTCCTAGACTTGGAGTTGTTTACCCTTTAAAAAAAAAAAACCCACGCACGTTTCAACACATGAATGGAAATTGTAAATATCCCGGAGAGAGCGGCTGGAAATCCTTAATTAAGGAAAACAAAACACACAAAAAATCCAATCCACTATCCTGCACGTTGGAGCGCCTGGAATATATGGTCCTGGAGCAGCCCCCACCCCAAAAAGTGACTTCGGCTTGCTCTGTTGCGATGGGATCTGTTTAAACAGCACTGTGCCTTTCTTTCTTTCCCCTTCTCCCTCTCCCTCTCTCTCGCTCTCTCTTTCTCTCTCTCTTTTTTGTTCTTCTAAAACACACACAGGGCCCCCTAGGAGAGAACTGGAGTCATTGGCTGCCTCCCATCATGTGCCAGTCTAGACACTTTGGCGGCTCTCTGTGCACTGATTGTTGCGCAAACAAGGTTTCAAGTTTCTTAACTCTTAAAGGAAAACACGTCCCTTGCAAAGGCGCAGGCACGGGGGAAGGGTTTGTGGGGGCATGTTCGTTCCCCGGCGGCGTGACAGCCCGCCAGCCCCTTCACACACACACACACACACACACACACACACTGACCGTTTGCTAAAAGATGGACCCCGAGCAAAAATGTTAGGCGAAATTTGGGGATCAAAAAAAAGTGCTTGCAGGTGGAGGGAAAACTCTTCAGCTGAACTCTGGTGTCAGGAGTAACGTGCGGTGTGTGGCGCATCTGGTCTTGTTTCAGCTGGTAAATGCGAAGTCATATTTATAGCATCCACAACCCCTCATTTTTTAATGGTATAAAAAGCAGTGCCTTGCACATGCCATCCTTAATCACTGGCGGCTGAAGAAGACTTTGATCTTGCTTGGCAAAGGCAGGAGGATAATGCATGGGCATGGACCAACAGCGAATCCCCACTGAACTAACCATCACTGCAGGGGGGGGGGGAGAGAAAATACGTGTCTTTTCATGCTTTGACGACCCAGGAAGTGAGCCCCCTCTTTGCAGAACAGCTAAGCCACTTTTTAGCTTAAACAAAAAGTACCTCTGATAAAATGTTTTCTGTTCCTGCTGGATACACATGTATTTCCAAGAAGTGCTTCCCAGGGACACCGTTGAGTTATGAGGCTGCTTTTTATTGATGTTATAAACAGTAACTCAGACACAACCTTCAGGTCTTTTGTTTAGGTTTTATTAATTATTGGTCGTCTATGGAGGACGAAGATTATTGAAGTAACCGTGCAGGAGCAATCGTTCTGCAATTCATCACCAAGCCTTTAAACTGTCAATTTCACTTTGACCCAGTCATGTAACATTTCACTTGAAATAACTTTCTGTTTAACATTAATTTACAACCTCCCCACTAGGGTGGCGGGTTTTTATTTTTTTATTATTTTTTTTTCCAATTGGCCTTTTTGTTTTCTGGTTTAAGATGCGGCGCCGTTTTACCATTACACTAGGAAAACTAGGTCAGGAAAGCATGTCTAAACTATGAATGTTCTAGCTAGAAGTTCAGCACATGAAGAGTTAATGTAGTTTCCTCCACTGGAGTCAGTGAGGCTGGGACACACCTCCTGGATGTATTAACTTGTTCAGGGTGGCAAAAGTTCAGGCTTGTAAAGTCACGATTGGCTCTCAGCAGAAATGTGCCTCGCCCCTTAAATGCTGATTGGTTGGGCTAGTGAACTAGAGCAACCTACTTTATATCACAGATTGTCACTGAATGAAAGAAATTCCGTTATCGTCATTGGTCCTCAGCGGTATTTATGCATCATGCACCTTATGGTGGTTAGTATATTATGGTATAATGTATAGGAACTTGAAATCAAAAAAAGCAATCCACGATTTTAGCATGCACCAGCACAAGCCTTTGCATTTGGGGTTGTTCCTGTTTATAATCTGCTCCAGAGTAGATTTAATTTGTTACTTGCTAGCTTGGCCTCAGCACCTGTAGCTCTCAGCATTACTCTAGCTTTAGTTCTCGGCAGTTTGACTACCTCACTCAGGAATGACAGGTTTCAGAGTAGCAGCCGTGTTAGTCTGTATCCGCAAAAAGAACAGGAGTACTTGTGGCACCTTAGAGACTAACACATTTATTAGAGCATAAGCTTTCGTGGACTACAGCCCACTTCTCTCACCCCGGAATTTAGGAGGCTTTGGTTTAGATCTTGGATGTTACAGATCTGTGAACAATGTCTCTAGTTTAATTATGGCAAATTTGTTAGTCTCTAAGGTGCCACAAGTACTTTTTGCGGATACAGACTAACACGGCTGCTACTCTGAAATCTAGTTTAATTAGAATGCCCAGATCCCAAGTGCCAGAAGCACCAAATAAAACGACCATCAATATTGGGTTAGAAAATACTAGTGGGAGATTAATTATTAGCTGGCAGCGAATTTAATTATTCAGATGACACCCTATATTATGAGCACTTCAGCAGGTTGTGTGTACGTTTCTCTATCACATCACAACAATGAAGCTGTATTACAATGACAGTCCACTAGAGGGAGGCTCGGGCAGCTCATAGCTGTGATGTTTTTGTTAAACACTTGAAACAACGTTTTCTGGGGCAGAGAAATTGATTTATTCCGCCCATTAATAGGTTAGAATTTGTTAAAAGTAGCAGCAGCTTTCTCCTGCTAGGAACATAATATTTGGCGTGAAACTGAGTGGCTAACAAACGTGCTTTCCTGAACTTATTATCTCAGGACTAAAAAAGTTTATTGAAAACTAGATGGGCTTATTATAGTTAAAATATGACTTATAATTTGTATGACCTTTGCAATCACATTGAATTTCACTTTTAAGTGGCAACCGACCTTTTGGGGAGATTTCTGAGTGATACTGCAAACCTGCCGCTTATTAAATGTTACCTTCATTGTACAACATTTTTTATGTTTACCTTGCCAGGAAGGGACATGTATAAAAATGTGTAAATATCAAGGGAGAGGCTGCTACGGTAAGATAACTTTGCTCTGGTCGTGAACACCTGCTTGAATGATGTTCGCAATGTAACTCTCTCATAACACAGTATTCTAAAGGGGCACAGACATTGTGAAAGGTCGCTCTTGAGTAGCAGGAGACCCTTCCAAACTCCTTGCCAAACATTTTTTATTGTGCTAGAGGTAGTAAAAGAGTTCTCGACACGTCATTTTTCTGTGCTTTTACCTGCTCAATTCCCCCATTCTCAAACATCAAAACAAGGTCGTTTTGCAGCTAAGGATGGAGGTTTTTCACAGACACAAATGCTTACCGAAATAATTGTTTGGGAAGTCAGAGCTATACATCAGAGACAAATATAACCAACAAGTATAACAGACCCTGAGACCCTTTAACACTGATCCTAGAACCAGTTGAATTTTTTTGATAACATACACAAACCAAACATGTTCAGAATTTACCCGCATGCCACCTACCCCTCCCATTCCCAACCAATGATTGAACTGGTCCGGACATTTTAATGAAAATGAAATTTCAATCAAAAAAATAATAAAAAATAAAATTAAAATGTTCATGATTTCTTCCCTCTCCTCTGTTTCCTGACCAACTCGAGGCAGCAGCACGGTCTTATGGGTGCAGCTCTCTGCAAGGACCCCTAGGCCTGATCTAAACACAGAGGTGCCTGACTTTAACCAAAGCCGTGATTCTAAACTGATTTTGTTAAATCAGCACAACTTTGTGAGGACACTTAAACTGATTTAAAGCTGGCCTATAGCAGTTTAGCTTGCCCCTGTACAGTCCAATATAACCAATTTTAAACCAGTATTAGTGTGTCCACACAGGGGTTTGCACTGGTTTAGCGACATTTATGTATAGACAGATCCCTTTTGACTTTGGAATTCTCTTCCGCTCCATTCCAAATCAGCCCAAATGTATTGACCTGCAGGGCAAGCTCTGCAACTCTTTTTTTTTTAGAGCGGGCTGTGGGGTGGTGCTTGGAAAGTGGACTTGCCTTTGGGAACTGAAGGAAATGGGGAGTTTGGGTTGGGTGATGTGACTTTGCTGCCAGGCTGGTGTGTGCTGGGTGGGACTTGGGGCTGTTTTGGTTTTCTATGGTTCTGACCTGTACATTCCATTGAGGGCAGCGTGCCTAGAGCTTGGGATAAGCATCTTTTTCTGATCTTAAAATAAATGAACACATATTAAGGGTCTGTCTGCAATGGGATATGTGTTCTGCTGTAGCTACACCGAGGCAAACCTCCCGCGCAGCTGTAAGAGCAGGCTGGCACTGGGGCAATGGTCCTATACCATTGGCAGGCTGGCACTGGGGCAATGGTTGCATTATAGCTTCATCAGTACAGACATCCCCACTATAGACAGGCCCTTAGAGTCATAGGGCACCATGCCACCCTGGCATCAGCTGGCACTCCTCCACGTAATTTCAGTTGCTCCTGTTTACCCCAGGGGTCAATTTGGCTCCAAGTGATGAACCCTCCTATATCATTTCCATGACAAAAAATAAAATGCTACCCTCTGATTGTCATTATTTATTCTTTGTCTGACCATAGCTTCTAGGAGCCCCAGTCATGGACCCCAGTGTGCTAGGTGCTGTACACACACAGAACAAAAAGACAGTCCCTGCCCCTAAAGCGCTTACCTGACACATCTCTGACACCCAAGGCTCCAAAGGGCAGATTCCTTGACCAGTATTTTTTCAGTTTCCCAACTTACGCTTTCCATGGTTTGAGAAGACAAACTAAAAAGAGGTAGAGAGGAGAATTCATCATTTCAAGTGGAAATGCTTGAAGATCCCTGTTAGCAGCTAGTTGTGTGACTGTATTATATATTGTGTGTGGAGGAAGACAGTTGTCATTGATAACTCACTGCACTTAGCCCTGTAATAAATCCACTTTGTTTCTGTTGGTCATTCCAGCACCGTATTCGAACTACACTGTTGACTCATATAATGAATACGAAGCCAGAGCGTCAATTCCATGTGTGTGCAGGCACCCGGGGTCTCTCTCCAAGTGGGGAGAACACCCCATCCCTCCCCACTCAAACCTCTCTCCACCTCCGTAGGGTTTTCAGGGCTTTAGGGGGAAGAGCAGGGGATTAGCTATTCTCTGCAGTACTGTCCCCAGCAGACCCACTAGGTTTCTATGCAGAAATCCAGTTGGGAGTGAATACAGGGAATCTCATTTGAATGTTCACTCACTAGGCATGGAAAGTATGTCATGTGACAGACCATGATAATACTAGGATGTCTCCTTGCTTAGTAGTGATCTGCAGCCTAACAACACTTTGCACTTATCTAATGCTTCAAAGCAATTTACAAATATTAGCCAACGCCTCACAGAGGCCGGTAAGTATTATCCTCATTTTGCAATGGGGAACCAGGGCAGAGGTTACATGATTTGCTAAGATCACAGAGGAAGTCCGTTTCAGAGCTGCAAGCAGAATTCAGGACTTCTGAGATCCAAGGGCTGTGTTTAGACCATACCCGGCCTCTAGCTACTCAGAATTCATGCTTTTTTATAGGTCAGAACTTGATGGACTTCAATGCCTTTAAAAATTCGCCAACTCTTTTCTTTCTAATATCAGCATTGCAAACTGGTGCCCAAATTAGACCGTCACAAATGTGCAATTACTAGTGGCATCTAAATATAAAAACCTGAAATAGGACCTCATTTAAGTAACGGACCTGTTATTGTTTTGGCAAGCAAAGTATTATGCTTCTCAACAGTGTATAATCATCCTGCATGCAGTATAGCTCAAAGAACAATGGAGCCTTCAAGATAATAACTAAGGCCTGCTATCATTGTAAGCACAGGTATGCAACATAGGAGTCCCAATTTGACTAAATGTGCCATCTAGTTCTTTTTTTTATTTCAACAAGATCACATTGTTTGGCACTCTAAAATGGAGCAAGAAAAACAGAGACCTCAATTGTACTTGTCATAATGTACATATAATTTATAATAATGTTGGTTATTAAAGGATTTTAGTAATTAATAGCGGTGTGTTATTTCTTTTGCCTCTTATAAGGGCAAACATTCTTGCGAGATGCTCTCGAGCTTGTCATATAGGTCTCATAATAAAAGCTGGATAAAGCATTAGAAGGTTTTAAAAGTTTGCCAGTTACCTAAAATGGATCCTTTTTTTATTCTGCCCACAGGTACTGTACAAGGTCAAATCCTCTAACGCCTAGAAGGACCATAAGTGGCTCCAAAGACAGGGGAATGAATCAGACTGTTTCTCCTGCCCAGAGAGAGCCAGGATGCAGATGCATTATGCGGGGAGATGGGAGACAGAGCACAGACCTGCAGAGGCCGCCACACCAGCATAAGGGGAAACTGAGGTCAAATCCTGCATATAGGGACCGTTTTATTTTATTGTTTTAATAAGAAAAATAATCTGATAATTTTCTAGATTTTATACCTTTGGTATATTTAAAAGGCTTTAAACCGAGTTAAACTAACAGATAAGAAGAGATTTAAAAATAATCTGAATAATTAACATTGACGTTTAAAAACATCCCTGTATTTTGATCTGATATTATTTGTATTGCAGTAGTCGCTGGAGGGGTGAACTCCGATCAAGCCCCATAGGCCAGGGTGCTGTACTTACATGTGGTAAGAGTCGAGACAGCCCCTGCCTCAGAGAGTTTACAGCCTCAATGGACAAGAGAGACAAAGGCTAGGAGAAAAGAAGAATTATCATCCCCCTTTGACATATGAGGAATTGAGTCACAGCCAGCTTCAGTGACTTGTAGAGTTGGTTTGAGAAATTTCCACAGAATCCTATTCCTTCAGAAGATGCGATTCCTTTGAAATCAAAGTCTTGCGAAATCGGGTTGCTTTTGCCTGAATTTTGTTTAGGAAGAAAACCAGAGGGGAAAAAAAGTTCTGACCTTGCTGAAACGTCCTGGTTTGACGTTTTCTGACTGGAACATTTTGATTTTTCATTTTTAAATGATTTTGTTTTGAATTGTTTAGCTTTTGTACTATATTATGTAATACAAAATTGAAACAGAACATTTCAATCATCCCCATACACAAAATGCCTGGCCTGCTGCTTCATGAGGAATTTCAAAATTCGGGGGTTCCAATTTGGAACCAAACCAAATTTAGAAATCTTGAAATTCTTCGGGAAACCGAACTTCCATCCTCTAGTGACTTGCCAACGGTTCCCCAGGAAGACCCAGAGAGCTCACACCCTGCCAGCCAGTAGAATACAAACATGAAGATCAGAGGCAGGGAGGGAGACATGGAAGAGAGAAGTCATCTGTGCGTCCTGCTCCCCTTCCTTCCTGACCCTGCAGCGGTCCCTCAGCCGGGGCTCCCAGAGACTGGGGTTCATGGGATCTAAGCAGTGGAAGAGGAAAGGGGGCAGGATGGCTGGTGCGTTTACCTCAATTGAATTCAATTTCCTGCTCTGCCACAGACTCCCTGTGCCACCTTGGCTGAGGGACTTCGTCTCTCTCCATGTTCCAGTTCCCCATTTGTAACATGGGGATAACGCCCCACCGCCTGGGGGTGTTGGGAGAGTGTTACATTAAAGATTGTAAAGGTGCTCCGATACTACAGAAGTATCTACCCTCCCAGGCAGGAGATACCCCGTTAGATAGATTTATATACTGCCCCAGCATGTGAGGCAGGGAACTGCCTGAGCCAGCCAACAGCAGATTGCCAAGGAGAGAGGAGTGTCTAAAGCCTGCCCTTCTCAACGAGTTAGGCCCCTACGTCCCTGTGAGGGTCTGGGCCCTAGATGCTGCAGGGATGGGTGCATTACAAATGCCTTAGACCAGTGGTTCCCAACCCTTTCCTTGGCAGAACCCCCCTCCCACCTAGTCGGGAGCCCCTCTCCCATTTAGCAATTTGGGAAGGGCAGGAGGGTGCGAGCCCCCAGAGCGAGAATACATCTGCCCCTATCGTAGTACTGCTTCCAGGAGTATTAGGTCAGTCTCCCTCCTCTCTGGGACTAGCTCTTGGGCAAGCTGTCAGTTGCTTGCCCACTGGCCTCGGTGCTGCTAGGAGAGCAGGTAGGGAGCAAAGAGGCATGAAGGGGAGAGCAAGTATTTTCCCTGCAGATCCGGGGCCTTTGTGGGTCCTGGGAGGCCTCACCCCCTGCTGCTTCTACTACCCTCATGTCCCCACCAGCCAGGAGAACAAGGCGCTGAGTATGGGGAAGAGTTAATGGACACTTGACAAGACGAATTTTGCTGAGTTTCCAGGCCTTTCAAAGCCCATCCCCCGAGTATCAGCTGTGGGTGGGGCGAGGCTAGGCCAGCCTTTCCAGGGCTGTAGTAGCATTTCAACATGTACAGTCTTTATTAGGGACCACAGCCTCAGGGCCTGACAGCAACGGGCATATTGCAAACCCCAAGCAGCAGATAAAGATGCTTTTCTCAATAGATTTCCTCCCTGCTCTCTTCCTTTCTGCTGATTCGTAGCTATCATTCCTACTCCTCCTCACTGGTTTTCTCCATTCTCTCTCCCCGGCCCCCCCTTTCTTTCTTTCCTCTTTTGCCCCTGAAAGAAAATTTCTTAGTGCTGCAAAAATTTTCAATCCCTATTCAGTACATAGCTGTGGGCAGAAGAAGAAAAACAACAGAGACTCCAATCTGCAGACAGCACAGAGCTAAGAATATGGTTCATTGTCTGGCCCTCAAATGTCTTTGACTCGGACACTCTCATAACGCAGCCAAAATAATATTTTTAACCCCCATATCTCATGGTGTAATTTCACAGTCCAGCAAGAGATGATCACAGCAGTGATCATAAATCATGAGTGGCTACCTTAAAACACTTGCCATCCTCCTCCCTTGAAATACTGGACAATTAGAAATACATCCTTACTATACAAGTTGGATAGTATATATTCCAGCAAGTATTCTTCTCTGGTATTATCAAAAAGGATAGATTGTAAACCAGATGGAAATCTCAGGCTGATTTTAAAGAGGCCAAATTCACAGCCTGGGTCATGTCATTTTCTGCCAGCATCAAACGAGGTCCCAATCCCCAGAGACAGAAATAATTGCAGTCCTCAAAGATTAGGACTTCTACTTCAGGGCCTTCTCTAAATCAAATCCATGGAAAAGCCAGAGCACAGCAAAATATCACAGCAGACATTTAGTGTAATGAATACAGACTTAGGATTTTTAAAAGAATCTGCATCAAATGTTTCCTGTATGTTACTCCAAAACTCCTCTGATGTGCTCCAAATGAAATAAGAAGTTGGATGGTTCTTAGCTCTCCTGTCAGTTTTAGGAGAGACATTGAAATATGGAAACCAAGTACAGACATAGCCCAGCTAACAGTTTCTGGTGGTGCAGAAAATGAAAAACAAAAATCACAGATGATAGGCGTAAGCTGCTCACGGGCAGACAGAGCTAGGTAATGTCAGAAGAACAAGAGAAACCAAACCTAAGCAGAGCTTTCTGTACCCTAAAAAAGGTGAAGAACTAGAGACCTTCCCATTGGACCATCCACGCTCTCTTCCACTAACCCTGAATTGCCGTGTATTGTATGCACATTATTTCTAAAGTGGTGCATAATATGGTGGGACCAGTTGACTCAGGGGAGCAGTAATAGGTCCATGCACCCTTCATTTCTAGATCTCCAGTTCAAAGCCTGCCCAGAATGGTAGCCCACAAAATGTTGTTACCATCCGATTGCCAGGCAGTGAAATAAGGTGGGTGGTTTCTGCTCGGTTTCCAGCGGGCACGTGTTCACCAAGGGCTGAATGGGTCACGGAGACAAGACCATCCCCTTGAGCTGGTCACAACAGGAAGGGCCTTAGACACATTGGCAGGGTCATGTCACTCTGCCTTTGCTTTACTTATTCTGGGGGCGACCCAGAACTTCAGCCTCCAGGGTCCCAGTCCAGCCCTAATTTCACAAGGATGTGAGTAACAGGTAGGGTCAATGCTCTGTGTTTTATAGCATAAAAACAGAAGCGCTGCTCTGGGGGAATACACTGCTAGCCACCAGACCAGCCTGCTGTAACATTGGGAATTATTTTCAGTGCTTACAAACTAACTAGGCAGGACAAAGGGCAGGAGGGGGTCTCCTGAGTCCCAGTCTGGTGCCTTATGCACTAGGACACACTGCCTCCCAATACACACAGTAGGGCTGAGCAGGCAGAACACATGGTGTTGACAGTCTTGCACCACACACAATGGAAATGAATGAGCACGACTATGGCGTTTGCAGTGATCAGTTTCCAGCAGGCATGGCTCTGACCACTGAGGAGGCCCCACTGGAGGAGGGATAAAAATATGGTCATTTGGGGCCATATCATGACTGTGGCCATGTGCTCAGGCAGAGGAGTGAGCTGCATTTGTTATCCTTACCAAAGGTGGACAGATCCTGGGCTCCATCCCTCCAATACCACAGCCAGCGCAGAAGAGGCAGTAATCTGTGCTGGGGAAAAGGGCGGAGCAGTTTACTGACCCATTAAGCAGAGGTGGAAGCAGGGACTCTCAATCACAATTCAGTCCCTGCTCTGCTCCAGGGACAGCACCACTCTGTGCTGCCCTTCCCACTGGGAAGATGCTGATCCAGGCTGCGGTATACACATGAACTAAGAGTCCCACGGAGCCCACGTCTCAAGCTTCATTTCTCCCATTCTTTGATATTTCCAGCTTTAGATAGACAAGAGGGTTGAGCAGTTTGAATTCCGCTGGCTCTGTTATGACTACAGGAGTCAGATGATATCACAGAAAACAGACACTTCGTTCAAATCGGAAGGGGAGTACAGCAACCAGTGCCCACATGGGGATACATTCTACAATAGCTACCACCCATAACAAACACGTCGTATTTTGTCCTTTTTATCAGCATTTATTCAGCAGCCTGTGGCAACAGTTTGCCTTTCTGGAGTCTTTTCCAGGCAGATAACACCCAGTGCTGAAATGACCCTTAATTTTTTTGGCACAATTGTTGTGGATTGTCATTTTCCATTTGGAAACGTTCGACAGTAACAAAAACACTCTGGCTTTGTACGGGCCACAAACCTGATCTAGAAACAGACTGGGCAACATGCCAACCCAAATTAAAAAAAAAACATTTTTAATTAAAAAAAATTGACTTTAATTAACAAAACTCTCTTGCCCTCCACTGCAAATGGCTGAGGGGCACCCGTGCTGCCATTGTAGCCCCGTGAGCTAAAAATGTGGTGGGATGGGATGAAAAGGAAGCATAACTTGACCAAAACATCAAAGCAGACCTGAGAGAGGTCACATATAAATGGTATTCTGTCCTTTTATGCAATAGTTTGCTCTTCTATTTATGTTGGTATTTTCTGGGAAGAGCTGGTCAAAGCCAACTAGGGCAGGCTTGTAAAAAAGATAATTTTTCTCCCTTGGAAAACACAAAGACAGATGGACTGGGCTGCTGGCTTTCCTCCCTCCCCTAGATTTGCTGCCCTGGGCAATTTGTTCTGTTGCAGCAGCTCTTTGCTGAAGTGACTGGCGTCTGGTACATTTCAGAGCAGACGCCAGTCACTCCAGTAAAGAGCCGCTTACCACATCTTTGGTAAATATTTTCTGCAGTGGTGCAGTAGCGATCTTATAGGGCAGCACTGTTATTTCATAGTCATCTCCAATAATAACTCAAATGGAGCAGTGCAGAAATGCCACAAAATACCAATCTGCAAAAAGCTGCTGGTTCAGAGCAAACGTTTGGAGCAGCAGGAACAGGGGAAGGAAGAGGGGGAAACTGCCCCTGAACTTCCTAAGAAAATGAAAACTATTAATTCTGAGTTACTGACTAAGGGGGATCATCAACGTTCGAGTGAATGGGTCCACTTCAAAAGGCTCATTCAAATGTGCATGTTGGTCAAGCACCAGATACTCGGGTGCTTCCCCCAGACTCTATCCAAACTTCTTGGGTCTTCCAAACTGGGGTGTGAAACTCATTAAAAAAAACAGGTCTATTCTAATTAGAGGTGATCAAAAGTATGGGGAATTTTTTTACAAAAAAATTCATCCCTTTTTTAGTCAAAATGTCAACCACCTCTATTTCTAATCATTCCACTTTCTGGTTGAATTGCAAGCTCTGCAAAGCCAACTCAGGAAGGAAAGAGGTATGTGAACATGGAAAGTGATGGGGTGGGAAGGAAGGGATCTGACCTGGAAGTCCTTGGTGCTCATGGGTGTAACAGAGGGTACCTAATCTTTAAATATACACCAGGCAGGTCAGGGTATCAATAGAATCGTAGGTGTTAACGGGAATAAACTCTGCTAATAAAAAGGAAAATTTGGTTCAAAAGTCACTCCCGTCTCTGGAGAGCCTTGTCTATCCTGTTGCCCATGATATGCCCGTGGAAAGAGATCCCCCATCTGAATGCTATATCCATATATTAAGTGTTTCACTGCTAAACAGTGAAGAGAAATCTCTCTCCAGAAAACCCCTGTGAGAAGAACAGAAGCAGTGGCTTATTTTCCAAAACATCTTTAACAAAAATCTGCCTCCACACTAGGATGCAATCTCAGACATTGTTGTAAGATGGTGTATGCCTAGACCTGGAAAGCAACTTCTCTTTCTCTGTCTCCACAAAACAAAATCTCTTTGCAAGATCAAGATCAGTCAGATAATCCCTGTTGTTTCCCACCTGGGACAGGACATATCTACCTCCCTTGTCGAATCCAATCCTATTTCTTAGGACTCTTAATTGAGGATTTCCAAATCTCTCTCTGCATCTACAACCAAGCTGAGACACATTTCTAAGGCTTCTCTTAACCTTTGGGTAACACTCCTCCATGGGGCCAGGTCCTCAGCTGGTGTGCATTGGCACAGCTCCATTGAAGGCAATAGGAGCTACACCGATTTCTACCAGTTGAGGTGCTGGCCCATATATTTAAGTTCACCTGTCTTTTGTGAATGATTACCTGGGGACATACACCAATACCGGACCTAGACCTGGAAGCTGACTTTTATTCACCCTATTCAAAGTACATTGGTCAGCACGTTTCCGGCGTAGAATCTATAGACAGTGCTTTGGCAACTGCACAGAAACAAGCATCTGCAGAAATTCATAGAAAGCTTTGAAAACTTACCCATAGTTATCAGTTTTTAGATACTTAAAAGAACACTCGAACTAATAGCTTTCCGTGGCCCCTCAGGTCATACACACTGATAATATGTGGCAAGAACACCCTGCTTCTCATAAAGAGAATCTATGTGGGTGTATTACCTGTTTTTAAATGTCCTTTAAATAAAAGTTGATGGTTTTTAATAATCTGTTTCTTTTTATTTAATTAATAAGTAGATAGCTATTAATTAAGCACATCTCTACACCAAAGAGGATTAACTCGGAGAGAGACAGAGAAAG